GGAATTGAAACAAAAAAAATCTGATTCCCAGGAAGTTGCACGGTTTTTTTTCTCTCCGAAATGGAATGAAGGCAAAATTTTGACATTTCCTACAAAACAAAATTCTGAAAGCAGTACTCTGGGTACAACCAAAACACTATGGTTTGATTTCATCCTCCTTGTTTATCATTTTATGTACTTGTGTATACAACCGTTTTGTCTTTTAAAGTCATTTTGAAATGAAAATACAACATTTTTCATTCTAAAATGTTTAAAAGGGGGGCATTGTTGTGTTATTTAAATGATTCGGTTTGTCAAAATTGGCATGTCATTTGAAACGTTTAGGTTTTTTATGGACTGTTTTCAGTCAAAATAAAATCTTTTTTTAGAAAATTTCTCACTAGTTTGAGCTGCTTTTCTTTACTGAGCATATAATGCCTTGGAAATGAAAAGCCCCTGAATTCATAAACACGAGCCCTGATCCAAGATGTCCCCGATGCCAGCGATTCTTAATCAGAGAGCTGTGGCACCCAGGGGTGCTGCCAGATTGTATGAAGGCTGCCATGAGGTTTGAGGAGATAAGTGAAGAGATAAGCAGGTAAGTGCAGGGTCAAGATTGTCTCTGTCTGGTCAATCCACTGCCCAGCCTCTCTACAGGGAATGAAGCATTGTAACATGTACATTATTTTTTTGAAACTGGGCACAACTCAGTTCACAAAAGTTATGGAGGGGTGCCTCGAGCCCGGTGAGGCATGCCTTGAGTCCAAAAAGATTGAGATCTACTGCCATACATGCATGCCTAAATGTAGGTGTATGATTATGTCCCATTAACTTGAATAGCAGTTAAGTGTGTATTTAAGTGTTCTGAACAGAGCATCTTTTCTGAATAAGGGCCAGCCATAAATCAGACTGGGGGCAAATAATTAAATAAAACTGGCAGTGTAGAAATTAGCAAGTGAACAGGAATTGACATGGAAGGGCAGTTTAAGAGACCATGTATAATGAAAAGAAATCATTCTTACTTGTTAATATGTATTAGTTGCCTGAGGCACCTGTAATGTTTAGCTTCTCTATAAAATGCAAACATGAAGATGAAACCATGAGGCTGGTTTAATTGTTTTTCTCTGTCTCATTTCTATGGTTTTATTAAATCTCTGAAGAAAGCAGTTTACTTCTGCAAAACCTTCTGGTGTTTTAGAATTAGAAAAGACATTGCAGTCAATGTAATGGTGAACTGTAGGATCTTCATTTGATTGATGTTTCTTTCACAAGGTAGCTGCTGGCCTGATTTTGGCTTTATAGCCCTACAGGTCTGGCTGAGAGCTTAATTCAGGTACTTACCTACCTGTTTTTATCTTGGGAAGATCATCCAAGAAGCTGGTATTGATGTGTACTGACCGTTCATTGGCAACCAAAATGATTAGAGGCCTGGGAAACGTGGCTTAGGAGGAAAGGCTGAAAGAACTTGGGTTATTTATTCTGGAGAAGAGAAGACTATGAGCAGAATTTGATAATAGTCTTCAAATACTTGGAGGGCAGTTATAGAGAGGATGGAGATGCATTAATCTCTGTGGCTGTAGGGGTCAAATTAGGAGCAGTGGTCTTAAACTTCAGCAGAGGAAATTTAGGTTGGAGATTAGGAAGAGGTTTCTCACTGTGAGGGTGGTTAAGGCTTGGAACAAGCTACCTAGAGAGATTGTGGAATCTCCTTTCTCAGAAATGTTCAAGACTAGGTTATACAGACACTTTACTGGAAGGTTTAGTCAGGGATGATTATGCTAGATGATCTCCTGAGGTCCCTTCTGGCTCTGCTTTTCTACGATTCTGTGTGATTGGATTCATTACTATACACATCTCCACTAAATGATGTCCAATTTCTTGTAAAGCCCGTTGCAAGGATTTCCTTCCCCTGAAATTAAATTGCATCCTAAAGTAATGTGACTGCATTCTGTTTCCATAAAACTTAACCATGTAGGTCCCAGTTGTGCAAAGGCTTTCCCTTAGAAATACTCATGAATGGAAAATTAAACACACGAGTACGTTGTTTCAGGCTCGGAGCCTGAGAATGTAAGGAAATATTTGCATTCAGCATACTGGAACATTTCTTCTGGCCATCAGTGCATGAAGTGCAATCCCGGAAGACGATTCGGTATATAACTGCCAGGGTTATTATTGTTCTGACTGAGGTTAGTTAGCAGTCAGTGAACCCAGTGTGCCTAGAAACTATCCATACATGAATCTGATAGACTTAGTAGCTACCAGTAGCCTAGATACTGTTTCATTAAACAATGAGCAAAGGTCTATTATATCATCTATTCTGTTCCACAGCCTGATTCCACACGCTCCGCTGCTCCAAACCGCAGTGTTTGCTGACCCCAGCCATTCCTGTCTTGTAAATTTATGTCTTATTGTCTTAATTACGACTAAGTGACACCGCATATCTACAGCAAGCTGGTATTTAAGCAAAAGATATCATGGAAGCATTGTCACTCATGACACAGTAATAATCAGTGGTTGAAAAATGCCGTGGAAATTTATTGACCTTTGGACAAGTAGCCTACAGGACTTTATGGAAATGACCTGTTAATATGCAGCTGGCAAACGCGAAAGAAAGGACTGCAACAGTTTCTTGATCTGTGTGTCTGCGTGGTGGGGCCCTGCTGCTGCTCAGTTGAGGGTCATGTTGAACTTGCCCAAAGAGTAAGGGGTCACAATTCAGTTGTATAAGACGGAGTGAGTTGCAAATGTCTTTTATCTTGTAAAGAAATAAAGCAAGAAAACGTGGACAGGCGAGAGAAAGGAAAACACGAATTAAAGTTACAAAACTTCAATGTATCAAGTGTAGTGGAACTTACCTTTCCTTGTGAAATATTGATTGATACTTGTGGTATGAAAGTGGAGTTATAAGTACAGTACACACAGACTGGAGCTTTGAAACCCATATATATATATATATATATATATATATA